GAAAAAACAAAACGGTAAAACTGTTCGTATCATTTTGTAAAAAAAAAAATGCATATTTGATGACTGCAGCAAGCTGTATGGGCACAGCTGGGTACTACTTTATAGTATGTTCATTCTACTCATTAGGGTTTATGCCTAAAGTCAGACTTGGGTTCATGTATAGGTATGTGTCAGCTGTGCTAGCTATTGGATATATTTAGACTAATTAAGTTCATTGGCAGAACAATTGAATGGGGGGGGAGAAGGCATGGAGGGCAACCATGGATGTGGACAATGGGGGAGGAGGATGGGACATAGCAGAGGGTGGGGGATGGGGAATCAAGGATGGCAAAACAAAAGGCAAGGTATGCAGGACATAAGAATTGGAAAATTATTTGCTGAGAACATGTATGTTGATGTGCTTGATTGAGCCAATGCAGTGTATTTTGGATGGAAAAAAAAAGACATAATTGAGTAAAACATTTTCTCTCTCCTCTAAATATAATATTTTAAGTAAATTTATTTTGACGAGTTAAAAACAGTATTCTCATGTACTTTATTTTTTAAGGTTTAAATTTTCAAGTGAATTTTTCTTTAAACATTTTATTTTCTTAATTTTCCAGAATTTAATCTCCCTCTCATACCCCAGTTCTACTCATGCTATCAAGAAAATGTACTCTCGGGAACCAGCAGTTAGCGTAACGGCTATGTCGCTGGACTCCCACGTAGTCGACCGTGGTTCACGTCCTGGACCCGGAGGCTTAAAACTCACGCCGGGTGCGTGTACGTGTGTGCCCAAGATCCCGGGAGGAGAATGGAAAAGAAGGGATTGCAGCATGACCATCCCCCTGGGGGGGTGAGGGGTGATTTCTCGCTTTCTGTCTCTATGTCTCTATCTGGACGCGCCCTATAGCAAAAACCTCTCCAAAAAAAAAAAAAGGAAATGTACTCTCAAGGACTGGGGTATGAGGAGATTAAATTCTGGGAAGTTACAAAAATAAAAATAATCATAATTCAATGGACTGAGCATAGGTATTCTTTTTTTATTTTTTTTTAAAAGGTTTTTGCTACAGGGCACGTGCGCTCGCTGGAAAGACAGAGAGACAGAAAGTGAGAAATCACCCCCCAGTGGGGATGGCCATGCTGTAGTCCTACCTTCTCCGCCATTCTAGTCTGGGGATCTTGGGCACACACGCACAAGCGCCCGGCTTGAGTTTAAGCCACCAGGTCCAGGACTTGAACTGCGGTCGACTACATCGGAGTCCAGCAACATAGCCATTACGCTAACTGCTGGTCCCAAGGATAGGTATTCTTACAAAGTAAGGCCAAATGAGAAAAAAGTCACAGAATTGAAAGATATATTTTCAAAACTTTGGCCATAGGCCAATAATCCATAATACTAAACTCTATAATACTAACACTTTTTTTTCTTTTTTTAAAAAGGATTATTTTATTTAACTTTATTTATCTTTTTAAAATTATTTTTTTATTTTAATTTTGACCAGAGAGAGAATGAGAAAGCAAGCTACCAGGTCTGGGATTCGAACTACGGTCGGCCATGTGGGAGTTCAGCACCCTTAACCACCACGCCATCTGTCAGCTCCACTAACACCTTTTCAAAGTACTACATAATTCTTGGAAAAAAAATTCAATGTATCTGATTTCAATTTTAAACTATGAATGGCCTAAAAAAATTTTTATAGGGCTAAGCAAGAAGAAGTAAAAGGTAGAGAAGGAGAGAAGGGGGAAACGGGGAAATAGAAAGGGAGTTATGAAATCAGAAAATGAGACCAGTAGGTGGCATAATGGTTACATTGTTGGACTCCCACGTAATTAACCATGGTTCAAGTCCCAAACTGGACAGCTTAAAATCTCATGCCAGGCGCGTGTGTGTGTGTGCCCCAAATCCCAAGACATTGGAGGAGAAGAGACTGCAGCATGGCTATCTCCCCAGGAAGGTGATTTCTCACTTTCTGTCTCTCAGGCGAGTGCATGCACTCTATAGCAAAAATCTGTCGTTTAAAAAAAAAAAATCAAGGGCCGACAGGTGGCATGGTGATTAAAAGCCCTGGACTCCCACATGGCTGACCGTAGTTCAAATCCTGGACCTGGTGGCTTGCTTTCTCACTTTCCCTCTCTCTCTTTCTCTCTCTGATCAAACTGGAAAATAATAATAATATTTATTTATTTATTTATTTATTTTAATTTGACCACAGGAGGGGAGAGGGAGAGAGAGAGAGACAGAAAGAGAGACAGAAAGTGAAAAAGCAAGCCATGAAGTCTGGGACTCAAACCACAGCCGGCCATGTGAGAGTCCAGCACCCTTAACCACTATGTTACCTGCTGGCCCCAAATAAAATAATTCTTAAAAAAAAGAAAGAAAATTAAAAAAAATCTTATTGCCACCTGGAAAAAATTTCAAAAATACTACAATAGACAAGAGGGCTGGGACCAGGGTTTTTGTTGTTGCTGTAATTTTGTAATTCATGTAACATTTGACATCAATTAAAAAAATCTCAGTGAATAGACGCCTTTACTCTTCTCTACATCACATTATCCCAAGTTTTCAAGAGACCACAGCTTCCCTGAAGAACAGTAAGGATTAGGTGACCTGGTTATGTGACTTACTGAAAAGATACCTGATAATGTTTTAAGTCAGCTCTTACACTCAAACCACTGTCATGATGATACATGTTATGGTAAAGAAGATAAAGAGCTTAAAGATGATTCTAGCATTTATCATAAACTAGATTTCAGTTGTTAATAAGTCATTTTTTTTTTTTGCCTAAATTTGGCTGCTTTTTAGGACTGACGACAAATTATTCAGAACTCAGACAACAGAACCAAAGGAAATTACAGTGATCATCTATTCAAAACATAATTATAAAAGTTCATTACCTTGTATAATCCACGCACACCTTCATATTTATATATTTTCACAAGTGTATCAAACATTCCTTTATATTGTCGCTGTGGGGAGTTAACACCACTATCATACTGTAACATAAGACGAGTTTTTGTTACCCATAATGGGTTTGTGATGCAGAGGGTCATGGCGCCTAAAATCAGATTTAAATAAGATTACTCACACAGGTATTTTCTCACTAATAGCAAACCAAATTAAGAACATCTCATTCAAGAATGAAGTTGCACTGTGGCTGTATTTTGAAGAATTATGTAACATATTAAGTGACATTCTTTACAGAAAATGACAATTTTATATAAAAAATTAATCTAGTTAAGTTCCTCATTCACTGGGTTTTATAAGCAGTCCTTTATTCAAAAAATATTGAGACTTGGGATGATAACAGTCCTCTCCTAGTGGCTAAGTATTCGAAAATAAGAAAGACAGTTTATGCCTTAAACGGTATGTAAACATTAAGAAACCAAGGTATGCAAGGTATCTAAGTTAGAAAGACTATGGGTCTTTGTTTTCCCTTCTGGGTAGTATACATACATGAGGCAATTAAACAAGGCTATTAAACTTATAATTTGAAAACTGAAATTATAATTAAAGAAACACTATACCAAATCTTAAACTATTAGGAATTCACAATTTTTCTAAAATTTATCACCCTTTGTGATAAGTAAAAATCTTTTTTTTTTTTTGGGAGAGGTTTTTGCTATAGGGTGTGTACACTCGCCAGACAGAGAGCGAGAGACATAGAGACAGAAAGTGAGAAATCACCCCCCAGGGGGGATGGTTACGCCGCAATCTCTTCTCCTCCATTCTCCTCCTAGGATCTTGGGCACGCACGCACATGCGCCCGGCGTGAGTTTTAAGCAACCGGGTCCGGGATGCGAACAGCGGTCGACTACGTGGGAGTCCAGCGACACAGCCATTACACTAACTGTTGGTTCCCGTGATAAGTAAAATCTTGAACTCTATCCAGAGTAATCAATATGTGCTAAGAAATTTCATGGTAACTCATAATGTAGCTAAATGAGCATATTTAGAATCTAGTGTTCAATGAAAAAGAAGACAAGTAAAATTAAAAAACAGAAATAAAAATCAAGTTTGGAAGGTAATGTTTATATTTCACTCATTGCCTTACCAGCTTCAGCAGCTGAGATGAGGTATTCTGTAGCTTCTAACCGCTCAGCTCTTCCTTCTGTCTTATACGACTTAATGGCATTATAACTAGAAGAATTAAACAAGAGGTTTGATAAGTATTTGAATAGGTGTGATAAAGCAGTAAAGTCTGTTCTAAAGTGTACGCAGTTGAGGCCAGCAGGTAGTATGGTGGTTAAGGCGCAGGACACTCCCACATGGCCGACCATGGTTCTAGTCCCAGACCTGGTGGCTTGCTTTCTCACTTTGTCTGTGTCTCTCTCTGGTCAAATTTAAATAAATGAATGAATAAATAAAAAATTAATAATAAAGTGTGTGCGGTTTGAAAACTACTTGAAAAACCAATGCATAACCCAATCACAAAAAGAAGTTTTTCAAGAATGGATTTGTTGGAAATGGTTTACTCTTAAGATTACACCACCACTCTCTCCAAATGCACACAGCTGGTCATACAAATGTAAAGTATTGTCATCACACATTCCTCAGTGAAGGCAAAAAACAAACTATTAATAACAGGAAATGTGGGAAGAGGGTGAGAGTGGACCGGTAGTGCAGAGAATGGGCAGAAAAGACAAGAGACCAAAGGGGCACCTAACAAATACATGCTGAACACCTGTGTTCAGGCATATGGTGGTAAGTTTTCTGATAAAAAGACACATACATGATAGATCTTTCTTAATAAACTAACAATGACCATAAATGGCACACAAACAATTATAATTAAGGACAACATAGACAGTATCAGAAGAGATCCAGAAATTATGACTGAGATCACAAAAGGCTTTGTGGAAGAGGTGGCACTGAGCTGGGTATGGGGAGACTGGCACAGTTTCAATAGGGAGGGAGACAAGCATGGAGAAGGTGACAGGATGGATGGGAAGACAGGGAAAATTTAGCAGTATACTGAGACATGAGTTTTATTTAGTGGAAAATGTTTCCAAGTAGGGCCAGTCAGATCTAACCCCAATTTCTACATTCTTCTTGGAAAAGGACTTCAGTTGAATAAATCTTTTCAAACTAACCACGTCATTCTGACATGAAACAAGTTAACTGTTTTCTTATAAGAAATTCTCATCACCTAAATCTTATATTCACATGGCTTATCCTCAGAAACTCTCTTGGAGGGGAAGCCCCATGGTCTAGTGATAAGGAAAAACCATCCTACATCACTGACTATATGATTTGAATACTCACCCTGGTAGTGGCTTGAACAACATGATGAGTGCGTGTGTGTGTGTGTGTGTGTGTGTGTGCGCGCACGCCTCAAATTCCAAAAGGATAGAGAAATGGAGGAGAAGGGATTGTAGCATGACCATGTCCAATTGGGGGGGCGCTTTCTCCCTCTCCCTCTGGTGAACACACATGATCTCTGGCAAAATTAAGAAAAGAAGAAAGAAACTCTTGGAGAATCTTCACAACTCAAATTCTTTTTTTTTTAAAAAGAATTATTTTATTTCATTTTATCCATTGTCATTTTTTATTTTATTGAAGTTGATCAGAAAGTGACAGAGAGAAGGAAAGCGAGAATGCAAACTGCCAGGTCCGGGACTTGAACCATGGTCAGTCATGTGGGAGTCCAGCTACTCTAATCACGCCACCTGTTGGCCCCACAACTCAAATTCTTAAAGCATCTGATACACACACACACACACACACACAGAGTTTCAGACATTTAAATTTATCTTAGGAATAACAATTTTTTAATTTACATAATACTAAGGTTGAATTTGTATTCTGCTGTTCACTTAAGATATTTTAAGATTGGTTTGAATACTGCCATAAATTTATGAAACCAAATAAAATGTACAACACAAAGAAGAGAAAAGTAAATATATCAAGTGTTTATATTTTTTTTACAATGCCATCTGTTAAAAAGAAAAAAAAAGAAAAGCTTCTCCAGTCACGGATTTGGCTTTGTGTAAGAGAGGCATGCTCAGAGCAGCGTATGCTCCTCCACAGCAGTACTATGATGCTCTGTTACCAGGCTTTTGTACAATCAACTGCACATGCCTGCCACAAGCACTTTCTGAGGCTTCTTCAGGAGGTATGCAATAGCAGTTATTTCAAATGGTGAAGGAGTAAGGAGAAGAATGAGCTGAAAAGATGATGAAGGACATAAGAAACAATACACCTCAAAACGTTCAGCAACATACTGGCTTTCACATTCTGCTCCCAGCAGGGATCTGTGGTGCGTATTCTTATGAGGATTTAAGGTCTGTCCTCTCCTTTCCAAATTTACGATGAATGAAATGTATGTTTGTAATCCATCTCTAATATTCTAGGAATGTGACTGAGGATAAATCAGTAGCTAGCTCACAAAACTTCAGTATTCATGTTTTTGCTTTTTTTTTTTTTTAATTTTATGGGGCACTTAAACATGGAGAAAATGACTTCCATCTTCCTTTATCAAAAATAGATACCAAGAAGAACTGAAACTCATAGAATTCATTTTAGACCATAGTTTTAGGCTCCTCCGGCCTCTGCAACGCTTTATGAGGCTACTAATAAATAATAAACTAGCTGAGTTAACTTTCTGCGATATGTTTTGACTCCTTGTGAGAAATACTTGAGTATACTGACATGACCAGAACACCTCAGAAATAATGAAAGAGACCTAAGATTTTATTGTGAATTATTATCTATTTTTCAATTGGCTATGACTAAAATAAAAACTCTTCTAGGGACCAGGAGGTGGCATGTGGTTAAGGCACTAGACTCCCACATGGCTGACCATGGTTCGAGTTCTGAACCTGGCAACTTGCTTTCTCATTTTCTCTCTTGTCAAATTAAAATAATAATAATAATAATAATAAATTAAATTAAATTAAATTCTTAAAAAAAAAAAAATCCCTCTGGGACCAGCAGTTAGTATAATGGCTATGTTGCTGGACTCCCACGTAGTCGACCATGGTTTGAGTCCCTGACCTGGTGGCTTAAAAAACTCACGCTGGGCGTGTGTGTGTATGTGCCCAAGATCCTGAGAGGAGAATGGAGGAGAAGGGATTGCGGCATGGCCATCCCCCTGGGGGGTGATTTCTCGCTTTCTATCTGTCTGTCTCTGTCTGTCTGGTGAGCGCACGCGCCCTATAGCAAAAACCTATTAAAAAAAACCCTCTGAGTACTCAATCTACAAAAGTAGTCAGTTAAACATTTTGCCTTCCTAAATTTACCTCCTAGAAACAGCTTCTGTAAGATAGTTCTCCATTTCATTCCTTCCCCTCCTTTCTACTACTGAGAACATTCTTCCAGACCAAATACCTCTGATAATAGATGACAAAGAATGAAACTGGTAAGTCCTTTGCTTTTCTGACCCTTCTGACTCAGAAAAACTGATTAAATGACTCCTTTTTCTTTATCAACTATAAGTAAATCAATTATCAATTATAAGTAAAAATCACTAAAAGCAAAAAATTCATTTTTATGGAATAGTGTAGTCTCTCCAATCTACTCACAAGAAAAAGTAGAGTCCCCAGGATAAACCTGCACCCCACACATTTGGGGTTACTCCTTGATAAAGTCCTCGTAGTCCATCAAGTTTCCAAATGGTAGTCAAGCAATGTAAAATTCCTTTATATTTTGGTCTCAGTTCCAATCCATCACTCACTGTGGTAAAGGATACACAAAGTTTGGTAAAAGCAAAGTTCTAGCTCTAAATCATGTATAAACATACACCACATAACTGGATATATAACAGAGATACTTATCTGAGACTGATAATTCAAATGTTTAAAAATTTAAATAAATAAATAATCTAGCCAGGAATCTCAATTACTTCAATAATGCTGGGGGATGACAAGAAAGAAAATGTGGAGGATGAAGTAAATTTTTACCTAGAATTCTTTCAACCTTCCCCATCAAAACACACATACCCCAAAATCAGAATAGGAAGCAGGAAAGTTTTTTACTTGAATATATCCAAAATTGAAATAGTTTTCCCTATTTCTCCAACAGCCATTCTTCCTTATTCTAGTGTTCTGTATAGCTCCCACTGCCACAGACATACCTGTTCATACTAGACTCCCCCCAGGGACCATCAACAAAGCCTCCTCTCTTTCCACTACCTTGTATCTATTAACAAATTCTTCTGATTCCATATCATAACTCTCTCTTGCACCTGTCTATGTCTCTTAGTTAACACGGCCATCATCCTACTTTAAGATACCAACAGTATTCAACTAACATTGACATTTAAAGTAATCTTCTTGCCTATGTTTTAAGAAGAAAAGTAATCTAGATGATAAATTTGGCATTCTTTTTCATCCATGTCGCTGCAAAAAAAAAGAAGGCAAATATTCAAATAGGATAATTTTCTGAGGTGAAAGGGGTGGTTAAAAAGGACTTTGTTAAAGTGTGAACAGATTGTAGGAAAAACACAAGGAATAATGCAGTATTAACAATTTCTTTACTGGTCCCAGCAGATGGTATAATGGCTATGTTGCTGGACTCCCATGTAAGCTGATCACGGTTCGAGTCCCAGACCCGGCAGCTTAAAACTCATGCCAGGCGCACGTGCATGCATGCCTAAAATCCCAAGAAGAGAATGGAGAAGGGACTGCAGCAGGACCATTCCCCCCTGGAGGGGGGCGTTATTTCTTGGTTTCTGTCTCTTAGATGAGCACACGTACTCTATAGCAAAAATCGCTAACCAAAAAAAAAAGATTTCTTTGTTGTTTTGAGAAGACCCTTAAACCCAGAAGTAGAGAATGTAATATTAAGTATCTCAGTATCTTAAAGGAATGCTGGAATGGGACATAGCTTAAGTTCTGAGCTAGTGAAAGGATGGAATGGTGAGAACTAGGTTGGAAAGAAGAACACCAGTCTGTTATGGATTGACCTGCATCTCCCCAATATTCATCTGCTGAAGTCCTAACTCTCAATATACTTGGAGTTAAGAGTTCAGTGATAACTCCAAATTGTGGTGGTAGGGGCCTTTAAGGAGGTAACTAAAGTCAAATGGAATGATAAGAGTGGGGCCCTGATCTAATGGGACTGGTGTCCTTACAGAAGATAAAGAGACACCTGGATTAAATGAGCACAGAAAAAAAGACATCAGCAAGTAAAGAGAAGCCTCACTAGAAACCCACTCTACTGCTATCTTTTTTTTGGGGGGGAGATTTATTTATTTATTTATTTATTTTTGCTATAGGGCACATGCGCTCGCCAGACAGAGAGAGAGACAGAAAGTGAGAAATCACCCCCCAAGGGGGGATGGCCATGCCACAATCCCTTCTCCTCTTGGGATCTTGGGCATGCACACACATGTGCCCATTGTGAGTTTTAAGCCACTGGGTCTGAGACTTGAACCACGGTTGACTACATGGGAGTCCAGCGACATAGCCATTACGCTAACTGCTGGTCCCTCTGCTGCTATCTTCATCTTAGACTTTCAGTCTCCAGAACTGTGAGAGAATATATTTCTGTTGTTTATGTAAAGTCTTTGGAATTTTGTCATCGCAGTCCTAATAGACTAACACAGACCTAATCATAAAAGTTTCTTGAACATCATACCAAAGAGTTTGGCTATTCTCTCAAAGTGTTGTATTTCTCAAACTTGGGTCGGAGTATACCTAAGATAACCAAATATGGGTTTCAGAAAGACAATTGTGGTGACTATAAGGAGAATGATGGTATTAAGATAAAGCAAATCTGGGGCCAGCAGGTGACATGATGGTTAAGACACTGGACTCCACATGTTCAACTGTGGTTTGAGTCCTGCACCTGGCAGCTTGAAAATCATGCCGGGCACATGTGTGTGCATGCCCAAAACCTCAGGAGGAGAAGGGACTGCAGCATGACCATCACCCCAGGAGATCTCTCCATATCCCTCTCTAGAGAGAACACGTGCCCTATGGCAAAAACCTTACAAAACAAAACAAAGATAAAAGCAAATCTATCCATCGCCTCCCTAAGGTCAAGCTGAAATTGTTACGGAAATAAAATATAATTTGAAATACTTTGGCCTAAATAGCATTTCCAATCAAGGAATTAGAATATGCATCAAAGTACCTCCTGCATTTCTGTAACAATAGCCCACGACAATACTAAAAGATGCTGACAGACACAGCTGAAGATAATAAGTCTGCATACGGGAGGGAGCCATGGGAGGAGACAATAATTTTATGTATGTTTTCAAGAAAAGACAACATATGACTTTATCTCCCTTAACAAAGCAAATCCCCACCAAATATGCTTTGTATCAGCATTAAAACAAAACAAAACAAAACAACTCAACTGCACTGGGTCAGGAAATAGATTTCTGTTATCACTAAAAAAAAGATTGGAATAAATATATGATATCCCAAGTAGTGGTAATTGACACTGTGCTTTACTAATATATGTATGTGTGCATACACTGGATAGCAAAGATAACATTTATTTCCTACTAAGGGTTCTGGTCAAAAAAATTTAAGACTAGTGGGGACCAGCAGTTAGCGTAATGGCTATGTCGCTGGACTCGCATGTAGTCGATCGCAGTTTGAGTCCCAGACCTGGTGGCTTAAAACTCACGCTGGGCACATGTGCGTGTGTGCCCAAGATCCCAAGAGGAGAATGGAGAAGGGATTGTGGCATGGTCATCCCTCCTGGGGGGTGATTTCTCGCTTATCTGTCTCTCTGTCTCTCTCTCTGTCCGGAGAGTGCATGTGCCCTGTAGCAAAAATCTCTCCCAAAAAAAAGAAAAAAAAAATTTAAGACTGGGGACCAGCAGGTGGCATGGTGGTTTAGGTGCTGGACACTCCCACATGGCCAACCATGGTTCGGGCCCCGACCTGGCGGCTTCCTTTGTCCCTTTCCCTCTCTCTCTCTCTCTGTCTCTCTGTGTCTCTCTCTGGTCAAATTATAATAAATGAATTAATAAATAAAATAAAAAAAAAAGTTTAAGACTGCTATAGATCCTATTCCCTTAGATCCTCCCCCCCACCCCCTGAAACCTCCCTCGTTATCTTCCTGCCTCCATGTCCAATATCTCTCTTGCTTTTCAGTTCTTTCCCATCAGGTTTTAAGCAGGCTTAAGTCTCTCTAAGGATCTCTTCTTTAACCACAGTGCCTCCCTCTCGATTAAGCTTCTTCTTTAAGATACTGACAATCTGGTTGAGCCTCACCTTTTACTTCAAGTGCTCTAGTTGAGGACCTCTTGAGTGCACTCTGAAGTCCTCTTTTTATGAACCCCTTAGTAGAACCTGACATTGTTTGCCTCCTAACACACTGGCTTTTGGCTCATTCCAGATCACATTTTAATTTTTCTCTTATTTTTATGCTACTAAATTTCCTTGGCTTCCTTTCCCTTTGTCCATACTTAAAGAACGATTTTAAGAGTATAACTACTCCTGGGCCAGCCTTGTGGTTAAGGCAGCTGATTCTACATGGCTGACTGTGCTGTTCAAATCCTGGATCTGAGGCCTGAAAAATATGCCAGGCATATATATGTAAATGCCCAAAATCCTGCAAGGAGAAATGGAGGGGAGGGGACTGTGATGAGGCCATCTCCTGGAAGGGGAGAGGGAGATGAAAAAGCACTCCCCCTTGGCAAGTGTATGTGTCCAAGAGTAAAACAAAATAAGAAAATAAAGTACTCTTTACACTTAGACAGGTGGTCTTTCGACCACCAGGTAGCTTTGGTTGCGCGGGCACACCCCCCTCCCCCCAATTACATAGTGTTTCCATCTCTAGTCCTGATCTCATCATTAAATCCAGATCTGGCTTCTGTTTTTAACATGGCACAAAAATGTGTAATCTGACAACTTCTTAATGTTCTGGAATCATTACTTTCACCTCTACCATTTTTTCCCCTAGCTTTTGCTATAGGGCATATGCGTTTGCCAGAGGGGGGGAGTGAGAAATCAACCCCGGGGGTGGGTGGGGGTGGGGGGGTATGGCCACACCCCAATCCCTTCTCCTCCAGGCTTCTCTCAGGATTTTGGGCACACACAAACATGTGCTCAGTCTGATTTTCAAGCTGCCAGGTTGGAAATGAAATCACACAGCCAGTCATGTACTATCCAGTGCTTTAACCTTTACACCACCTGCTGGCCTCATCTCTGTCATTTTAATTTACCCTTTAGCTATATCAGATAATCCACTCTCAGTTTCAAAATAACAGCATATGCTATAGAATCAACTATCTGGGTTTGAACTCCAATTCTAACATTCACTGTGTGACTCTTAGTAAGATTACTTGATTGCTTTGTGCTTGTGTTTTCTCATCCATAATAAAAACTAACTCTGAAAGTTACAAAGGATTAAATGAGTTAATATAAAGCCCTCAGAATCATGCCTACCCTATTGCAAACACTCAAGTATTACTTTATCTATGCTACTGGATCTTGCAATACCTGTACATAAAAAAACTTTACTGTGTGCTGTTCTTTTTACTGGAGTCTACATTTTGGCTTCTTGAGCAATACAGCAGATGTGATTATACTCTCTTTTCTTCCTACCTTCCTACATTCTCTCTTTTCTTCCTACATTCACATATACACTTAACTTGCAGATTAGGCTTTTAGGTTATCTTAGAAAAATACTAATTTTGGGGGACCAGCAGTTAACATAATGGCTATGTCACTGGACTCCCATGTAGTCAACCACAGTTCAAGTCCCGAACCCGGTGGCTTAAACTCACACTGGGCACGTGTGCGTGCATGCCCAAGATCCCGAGAGGAGATTGGAGAAGTAGGGGCTGCGGCGTGGCCATCCCCCCTGGGAGGTGATTTCTCGCTTTCTGTCTCTCTGTCTCTCTCTGTCTTCCTGGTGAGCACACGTGCCCTATAGCAAAAATCTCAAAAAAAAAAAAAAAAAAGAAAAATACTAATTTTTTTTTACCTTTTCTCCTTAAGTTAGGGTTCATATGTTAAGAGAGAGAGACAGAGATTAGTATTTTTGACATCATCTCACCTAGTCTTCATCCTCTTGTCTCAGCCTCCCAATTAGCTATGATACAGGCTGCTCAATCTGGCCCATTTGTTCAGATCAGCCCAAGAATTGAATTTGGGCCTCCCATGCTGCTTCCAGGCTCTCAAGTGGTGGTGCTATTTGAAAAAACCTACTCTAACCTTTCTACTCAGTACAAGAATATCTTCTAACCTCTGTCATCCTGTCTGAGCCACTTAGGTTACCATTAGTTTCATTTTTTTTTGGAAAGGTTTTTGCTATAGGGCACGTGTGCCCGCCAGACAGACACAGAGAGACAGAGAGACAGAAAGCGAGAAATCACCCCCCAGGGGGGATGGTCATGCTGCAATCCCTTCTCCTTCTCCTCTTGGGATCTTGGGCACGCACGCACACATGCCCGGTGTGAATTTTAAGCCACCGGGTCCAGGACATGAACCGTGGTCGACTACATGGGAGTCCAGCGACATAGTCATTACACTAACTGCTGGTCCCACCACTAATTTCATTTTTGAGCACTACCACTTTGCCAGGCCAGAATCTGCTCCCTATAATTTCCGCTCAATCTATGCCTGACCTTAGGATCAACCTACAATAAGGCAACTCTCTCTTACCCACCTGGAAGTTCTCTAAATAGCTTAAGGTTCTTTTGATACACACACACACATATATATAGATACATCTAATATATATATATATATATATATAGATGTTCTTTTAGTGTTTGCCACAGGGTGTGTGTGCTCACCAGAGAGGGAGAGAGACAGAGAGAGGGAAAGTGACAAATCATCCCCCTGGGGGATGGCCATGCCGCAACCACTTCTGCTTCATTCTCCTTTTGAGATTCTGGGCATATACACACATGCCTGGTGTGGTTTTTCAAGCTGTTAGGTCCAGGACTTGAACTGTGATCAGCCTCATTGGAGTCCAGCACCTTAACCACCACACCATCTGCCAGCTCCAAAATAGCTTTTTTCTATCTTCCTTCCTCAACAAGCTAAACTGGCTCCTCTGGACATTTTTCATGTGAATGATTTCTACTCTTTCTATTATCTTAGACACTTCTGTGTTCCAGTTTACACTTATGAATTCACTGAAAAAATTCCACATGTGCTTTCATTCAGGACTAACCTACTGCACTCACTAGATACTAGTTTTATCAAATGGATTTAACTATCTAAAGGTGTTATGAACTACAGTGGGTTATTCAACTTTGATGCTAGTGACCAGTCAACTATTTTATTTCCACTATTCATCTTCCTAAATTTTCCTCTTTTCTATTATAGCCACACTGTGGGCTTTACCTGTCACCTCAGCTCCACCAATTTCCTAGAACCCTCCCCATTCTATCAAGATTACAAATCTTTTCAGGTACCAAGAATTTCCTCAGGCATGGTCTGCTTCAGAGCACTGTCTTACTTTACCAGGCCAACCACACTATTTCTCATGATCAACTGTCACTCCTCTTAGACAAAATGCTGAAGGGAGGCACCATGTCATACTGGCCTGAATCTGAAACTAAGTCCAATATTTTTTTCTTCATGTTCCAGCCACTGTGGCTATCAAGGATTCACAGAAGTAGTAAAGTGAATATTGAAGTACAGGAGGGTTCTATTCTATAGTTAGACTGCCCAGGTTCAAAATCCCAGATGCATCTTTATATACTTGTGACTAGTTAACCAGTCAACTTCTGTAACAGGGACAATAAATTCATAAGATAGTAAATGAGATCATGTATTTAAAGTTTTTAGTTCATTGCCTAGCTTCTAGTAGATACTCAATTGTACTGTCCAATAATTATTAATACACACATCATAAATTCTATGAAATCATGTCTTTGTGGTGTTTTTCTCAGGTGATAATACTCCATCATGATTTTCATGAATTTTGCTTCAAAGAATGACTTCTTAACTCCTTTCTGGCTGTCAAAATATTAGTCCTTTTAGGGGAACCTCAAGATTTCATCTTCCATGGGTTCTTTACAGATACACATGCAGCACAGTCTAACCGTACTCATATTTTGTATGTGTATTTATTCCACTTTACTCATGATTTTCATGTTGTTTAGAATCAAGCCTCAAGTCTACAATTAGACTAAGTTCCCTAAGGGCAAGAACTTTGTTAAGACACTTCTGTAGCCCATACAGCACTTTACAAATATTGAGAATATATATCAAGTGAACTGAACAAAATTATCTAGCTCTAAAACACTTCTGAAGACTTAAATTTCAAGGCAGAACTTAACTTGTAACAATAAAATAACTAAAATGCCAGAAAACTGTTTCCAGTGAAGTTATCAAAAATCATCTTTAAAACTGTCTTTTCCAGGGAACCAGCAGTTAGCGTAATGGCTATGTTGCTGGACTCCCACGTAGTCGACTGTGGTTCAGGTCCTGGACCCGGTGGCTTAGAACTCACTCCGGGCGCCTGTGCATACGTCCCCAAGATCCTGGTGGCTTAGAACTCACGCCGGGCGCCTGTGCGTGCATCCCCAAGATCCCGGTGGCTTAGAACTCACGCTGGGCGCATGTGCGTGCGTCCCCAAGATCCCGAGAGGAGAATGGAGAAGGGATTGGCGTGACCATCCCCCCTGGGAGGGGTGTTTCTCGCTGTCTCTCTCTGTCTGTCTGGCAAGCGCATGCGCCCTATGGCAAAAACCTCTCAAAAAAACAAACAAAAAAAATACTGTCTTCCAGAATTTACTGTTGGGTTTAACTTTTAAGAGTGTTTTGTTAATTTCAATATACTTAACTTAGTTCATACGCTTAAATAGCAATTAGACTCTACCTATTCCTTCACAGGACCTTGTACTACACTATAAACGCCAAAAATTTAAGACATCTCTAACGCAAATCTATTCCCAACCACAAGTTGAGGATTAAGCCCTAGCTAAAGCACATGCATTTCCTTTCAGTCGCGCTGCCAAAACACGTGGCTACTTTGTTTCAAAATACTTCTAAAGGTGAATGATTTGCACCGGTGAGGGATAAGCCCTTAAATGTGACAATCCTTTTATTATCTTACCAATCAGGCTTCCTCCCACCTTCTATACCAAGGAGGATATTTTCCCTCTAACTTTTCTACCCACACCCCATCCCTTAGTTTTAGCGAGTGCTGAGATCGCGACGAGACCCGTTATAGGCCCCTTCCTCCAATCTAGTTCCAAGTGAGTCAGAGCAGACAGAATCTTCTTCAACGGGGCTCCTTTTTGAGCCTGCACCATCCAGTTCCT